AGTATATATTAATAATAATAATAATAATAATAATAATAATAATATGTTGGGGCTAAACTATGGCAACTAGAATCGGAGCTGGCCGAGATTAAAATTTAAAATGACCATATGGTCTAATGGAATATTGATAGCTCTATAAATTTGTAACCTTTTAGATTAATTTGTCATTTCAATAATTTGGCTATAATAATTGGACCATGACAAAATGGATGTGTAAGCTATTACGGACCATTATAGAAACCATTTAGTGGAAGTAGTTAAATTACAAGGGGTGGCCAGAGCTTATAAAGGGTGGAGGAGTATAACTATAAATTTGATAGATATTGATTTTAGAATTTTAATATTTTAGAAGGTACGATTTGAGGAGATCAAGGTTAAATTTGATAGATGTTGCGATTCGAGGCAAGTATTATGTCAACCAAGTTTCATGCTTTTCCCATATATATTTATTTGTGACTAGTTATTTAAGATCATTTGAGTATTTGATAGTTAATGAGATTTTTCGTATCAATTGTGATTGTGAATTATATATATATTTGACATTTGAGTATTTTATATTGGGTGATATTTTGAGCATTTGAATTTACATATGAATTGCTATTGGATTGAGATTTGAGATTTGAGCTATTTATGAAGTATTCTATATTTTGATCATGTTGGGAAATTTCGAGTTTAAAGTTTAAAGGATCAATTAACTCTTATTTTGGAAATTTATGCCTATGTACAAAATGAGATTTTGAAATCTATTAGAGATCAAGATATTTTGAACTACATGGTGAAATTGTGTTTTGAAATCTAAGGCTAATAATCCTTATTCTAAAACTATATCTATGAATAATAGATATAGAATTTTTGAGAAGCAATCAAGATAAAAAGAACCTTTCGATGTAAGGGCATCGCGAGAGAAATCTGCGGTGTCGGTGTTCTCCACGACCTTGACTGTGGAGAGTGATTAGGGTTGCTACTACTTGTTTACTCATAAAGAGTTGGGATGTTCGTGTCTCCACGACCCTAACTGTGGATGTTGATGTCTCCACGACCTTGACTGTGGATGTTGGCGGTAAAATTCGGGCAAAAGACCCTGTTATTCAGTAGTAGCGGTAACCTAGTCACTTCTATAGGGTAATCCTTTTTGGTGAGTAGGGGGACGTTGACGTCCGAACTACTTGGACTTCTTATTACCCGTAGGGCTTGGAACCACTTTTCCGGTGGTGTGCACACTTAAGGTAGAGGTTCAGTTTCCTCGGGTTAGAAGTGATACCGGCAAAAGTCCCGGGGTGGCCGTACATAACAACGGACCATCGGTCTCAATAAAATGTTGAGCACCGCCCTTCAAATGTATTAGAAGTTTAATACAATTATATTTTAAGACATTACTAGAGTACAAATTATATTCGGATTTAGGTTTTGAGGTTTTGAGGAGAATTACATTTGACTGTATTGGATTTGAGATGTTGGATTATTGGATTGCATTATATTTAGATTGAATTTGAGGTGATTGAGATTATTAAATTATTTGTGGATTTCCAAAGTAATACTTTTGGATTTGATTTGATATGATTATGTTGAATATTGATTATGAGTATTTGGACATATTTGATATTGGGGTTTTACATATGATATATGTCTTGGAATATATTTACGAGAATTTTGGTGGTTTATGTATATTGACATTTTAGAATTATTATGATTTGGAAATAAATACCTATACTTGGAATATTATTATTTTACATGTGATTTTGTGATGAGAAGTTTGTATAAAGTGTTTCATAAGGTTTCCTCCCAAATGTTTTCACAAAATGATATATATGTATCAAATATGATTATTTTACACGGTTGGGTGGGCCTTACTTAGTATTTCCAGCTAATTTTTGTTTCTTTGTATTTTTCTTTCTGTACTTTATTTGTGCAGGAATTGGGGATCATGTTGAAGTTGATTTCGAGAGCTTCCGTTAGAACACATAGACTAAAGTGATTGAGTAATTTATTTTAGTCTTAATTTTAAAGAATTATAGTTGAACAATTAATTATGGAAAATTTTAATTTGTTGGTGGTGGATAGCCTGTGCACTCGGTTATGTGAGAACCGAGTGTGGCGGTAACGCCCCTGTTTCCCTTTAAATTTTTCGCTACAAGACTCTGATGTTTTCGAATAAATCATTATTTACTTTGAATAAATCATTATTCAAATGTATTTTTGGGTGGGAAATTTGGAGGTGTTACAGTACTGCTCTTTCGCTCATCTCGCGCTCCTAAATTGTTCAATACTAATTAAGATTGAATTGCTCCAAAACTTATAAAATGGTCTGATGCCTCTCAGTAGGGGTGGACATCTCAGTTTACAAGTCATTTTTTTAGTTTCAGTTGGGTTTCGGTTTACTCGGCTTGGCGGAAAATGTACCAAATAAAAACCGAATGTAATTTGGTTTGATTTCAGTTCGATTTGGAAATGGATCGGTTTGGTTTGGTCTGTAGTTTGGTTTATCAAACTATATAAGTGGTTTGATTTGGGTTGAATTGAAACCAAACCAATTTAAGACCCAAAATTACTACAAAGCAGTTGACAAAAATAAGTTGAGTATAAACAATAGCAATAATATAATAAATCACGGAGCGAGAGCTTGACTCTCAATATCTTCGTTCTTCCTAGGGCTTTCTGCCGCTAGGGCTGGTTTTGTTTTCCGATTTCGGCTTCGGCTGGTTATCGAGTTTTGGGAATGTTTTTTCAGTTTAATCGAGAGCTTATCTCTCGGATTGGTTTTGGGGTGAAGATCGCTGGCAGCGGTGCTTCAAGGGTAGGACGACGAGGGGTGGTCGCCTGGCAGATGAAAGTTTTGATTGATTCGTATAAGAAGATGGCTATGCAAGACCAAGAGAGTGAATTGAATTTCGATGAGGAGACAAAGGAGGTAGCCGGCGAAGAACAGGAACCGAGACATTTTCCGGCGGTAGGGGTAGTCATCACGGATCGGCCCCCTCCTGAGCCGCCGCCATGGAGTGCAGGAGAGTCTAGAGTTTGGAAGCAGTATTTTAGTTTTATTATTTGCTTGCTTTTTAATTTTCATGGTCAGACTGTTCTGTTTTACTTTTATTATTTCCTTTGCTGTAAGACTCTTGCATTAAGGTGGGGGGGGGGGGGGAAGAATCTGCGGTAACCGTCATTAGCTCTAAATTGCCCAAATTTGGTCTAGCGAGTTATACTGCTTATTTACAGGTGGTTAGCTCTCAGTCTCGGCCACGGGCGGATGGTTATTTGTGGTTTTTTCCTAGTTCTGTACCCTTGCTGAATGCTATTTTTATGAATTAAGTTTTCTTCGAGCAAAAAAAAAATAAGTTGAGTATAGAAGAAACCAAACAAAACTAAGATGCTAAATTGGCAAATTGGTATACTTTTACCCTCTAAAAACAACAAGCAGTGTAACTTGAGTATAGAAGAAATAAAAACTGAATATAGCACGAACTTTGCAATTTGCATCATCCCTCTCTTATATAGCAAAAACACTAGTTAAATAAAAATTTCAAACTTCAAATTAAACTTGTGAAGTTGTCATGGAAGAAATCATAGCTTCATAACTCTCTCCCCTGTTATGTTTAGGTGTGCTCACCTGTAATGCTTAATTAATATCACCAGCAACCCCCACGTTGAATTAAAATGAAAAGCACCCACGTAATAAACTTTCAATACAATCCAACTGTATTGTTTTTTGAAAACAGATACACACTTGTGGAGTCCCTTTTTTTTTTGTGTGTGTTTGTTCATTTGATTTTCTTAAAACAAATTTATGTTCTACTTGGTGGGGTCCCTCTGGGGATATGCTGAAGATAAAGAGATGTTGAATATTTAACTATTTTCATCATGACCATGATTGCCAGATAGCTCCCAAATCAATGTTTGGGTTTCTAATGATTTTCATGTAGTCTATCCTTCTATGTATGTAGTGGTATTTCACTTTCTCCTTTCGGCTCCCACTTATCTCTACCCCTCTCCCCTTTTAATGTTTTAAGATAATTTCTATATTGTTATTGATAATACACTGGTTTTGTTTCATATGTATTTCTAATACAGTTTATTCATGGAGCATTTTTGTACCTTTTTTGGCTTTGATGAGAGGACCAAATACTAGTTTTTTTAATTTTGCGATTAAAATCTATTGAGCGAAGTTCAATATCGGCTTCATGTGTTTTGTGCCATTGAGCTGATAGCATTTGAGTCATAACAATTATGGAGTTAAAAAAGTGTTATACCAATGATACTATTCATAAATTCTAATTTCAGATATAATAAAAAATTAGACTACATAAGGCATAGAATATATGATTATTGGTTAAATATATCCTCAACTATTATCAAATTCACAGATAGATCTATCCCATATTTTCACTTTTATTAAAAAAAAGACTCAAACTTTAATTTGCTCACAATTACAGTTTCAATGAATGAATTAGTAAAACTTCAGGAGAAAATCATATTTATATTCATATTTTTTCACTTCTTTTTAGTTTTAGTTTTACAAACTTTTATTGCTTATATCTTATTGATATTGATAAAATATGTAATTTTGAAAAAAGAAAAAAAAAACACAATTGTTGAAAGGGGAAATTTGAGTTTGCACCCCATTTTATTGTTCCAATTGGACTTTTGCACCTCATTTTTAAAAAACGTTGCGTTTTCACCTTAACCTCTTATGTAAAGTCGAAAATATCTTTCCATTAACAATTTTGTTGGTCTTCAATAATATATACCTGATTGAGGGCATTTTTGTCTTTTCAAATGGAGTTGACGTGCAAAAACAAAGTTTTTTAAAAAACGGGGTCTAAAGTCCAATTTAAACAATAAAAAGGAGTGCAAACTCAAATTAGCCCTTGTTGAAAAACATGAAGGTTGAGTCTTTTTTTCTTTAATAAAAGTCAAGGAATAGGATAAAAACCTAATATTTCAATAAAAATCAAATTTCGGGATAAAATAAGCTAACAATTCTAGAAATATATAATAACATATTTTTTTGATCATCGAACATGCATTCATTCATAAAAAACACTCAGAAAGGGGTTGAAATAACAAAAGGACTACAGTAACCATCCGCCCGTGGACGAGACTCTGAGTTAATTACCTTTGACAAAGCAATATAACTCGCTAATCCTAATTGGGCATATTCAAAACTACGACGATTACCGCATGCCTCTCATCCCCCAATCCAAGTGCAAAAGTCTTACAACATAAAATAAATAAGCAGCAAAACATAATCGAAATAAAAACAAAAATAGAAATACTCGTCCAAACCCTAGTCGCATAATTCCTCCAAGGCGGCGGTTCTGGAGGAGGGCGGATCAACATCCCTTCGTCTTCTTTCACACATAAGCCACCAATGAACCCCTGAAATTTGATTTTCCAGTCCGACAACACGAAGTCAACCACCAGAAACTCCATGCTATCACCAATAGCTGTCTGTTCCGTCAAAGCTCGTCCCCAAACTGACGAAGAATAACAGATCGGCTTCGTCTTCAACATTCTGCAGCACCCCGTCTTCCCCTTGCTAAACTTGTCCCCTGCCAAAATCAGAAGCCTCGAATCTTCCTGAAAGCTTCCTCGCTTGTTCGGTGCTCTTGTAAAGCAGAAAAACCAAAAGCTTCGTTCAGACAGAATCCAGATTCACCACAATTGCAAGTCCGAAAGAAAACAAAAACGAACCAAACAAAACCCCGCGATGACAACAAAATTCAATACTCTGAGAAGATATATGAGATAAGTTGCCTACCAGGGAGAGATCAGCCGAACCCATGGCTTGGATAGGCCGCCGCCGGAAAAAACCCCAGGACGTGCCTAGGAGACGACCGTGAGGATGGACGAGAAACATTATTGGTTTCTATATATAATATAATAACATGATTAATATTTCAATAAAATTCAAAATTTGAATAATACTTCATTATATAATACGGAGTAATAATATTTAAGTGCTTTTATGCAAAACCAATTAGGGAGTGTTTGCAATCACTTAAAAAAAGCACTTCTCAGCATTTGGCTTTAAAAAGCACTTATTTACTAAACACTACCAATTTTTACTTTTTCTCGGCTTGCGTGTGAAAAGTGCTTTTCCCCATTCTATTACACAAAAAACACTTATTTTACCAAACACTATCAACTTTTACTTTTCAAAATCACTTTTTTCTCAAACGCTATCAACTTTTCCTACTAATCACTTTTTTCTTACATCTCCAAAAGTTCTTTTTTTTTAAACAGAACCAGTTGCAAACACTCCCTTAGTAGTGCTATTTTTCCGGCTCATTACACATAAAACCCAGCCCAACACCGTAATTTAATGCGCCCCAATAACCTAACCTTACTCGTCCTATATAACCTTACTCGGCCTATTTGTCAGACCATCGAGATGGTCTTGGGCTCTTGGCTGAATCTACGTTTCTCTCTTTTCCTTTGTGTATACATGAGCCTTCCCATTGTTTTGTTTTGTGTATTGATTCGGTACGAAGGCTAATTGATAACAGATGATCCAAACCTCATTATTCCTTGCTATTTTGCACTTGTAAGTGACATGGATTACGATCTATACAATTTCCCCCCCAAAAAACTATTGGATTGTGATAGATCTATACGGAATATCAGCACCTGTATTTACAAACTATCTTCCTTGCATATGAATGACTCTAAAGCTGAGTGATTATAAACAAAGGATCTCAGATCTGTCATCTTCCTTGGCCGTTTTTGTTATTCCTAATTAGTTTTTTTTGTATATATTTCTACGTAGGTTGTGTTATATTTACTGATTCAAACAATCAGATTCAAACTTAGCCTAATCAGATCTATCCGATTTATAAATATTCGGATGGATAGATCTACTAAGGCCGTGAAAGCTCTTCCTCTGAGTACTTTCTATTGCTTATACTGTTTTTTTGTGCTTGTTTTTTCGTTGATGCTTGTCCAAATTCATTTACGGTTTGCTGTGATGAAACAGTTGTGTGGACTAGAGTTTCTGATCTTTTGTTTGAAGACAAACCCTTGGCTGTCTGAGCACACCCGTTTTAAGTAACATCTTTTGTTTGGGAATTTGGCGTTGGCGCTGATGATGAAGACATGAATAATCTTAGCGGATTTCAGTGAGATGGTTCTTCATCTATGATCTGATTGTTACACACACTGAAGCCCTTCGCCACGGCCTAGATACTATTGGGATTTTTAATTTTGATCTAATTAATTAAATCTCTGTATTTCGCGAGTGATTGCTGTGATGAGGACGCACCATGGGTGCAATGGGCAGTGGGTAAAAAGGTTGGGACGATTGACTGAATATAATTTCATAATCAGCGAGTCGGTCCCTATCTTTCCGTGAGCCCTTCAATTAAACGACTTCTCCTTCCACTGAGCATTCATTCATTCAGCTGGTTTTTAATTTTCTCGTATTGGAATGTAATGATAAGTTCAGGGCAGAAGCTGGCGTCTATTACCAATTCTGGGGGAGAAATCTCAGTTCCTCACAGGCATAATGGCTTAGACGCCAAATCTAACAGTGGCTTATCCTGATCAATGGACTCTTCCTTGGAACAAGTGCTATTGTATCCCGGAAATACCACTAACACCCCTTCTTCCTTTTTATTCCGGCATTGCCTTTCTCTTGTTGTCGCCCTTTCGATTTCATACTTTTGAGAAATGGTCCCGGGTAGGACTAAAAATAACTTTATATGAATGTTTTTTATACCTAAATACGACCATTTATATGTTTACTCCCTATTTTTTGCCCAAAAAAACTATTTGTACAATTGTGGGTACAAGAAGATCCCTTTTTTTGCCCTTTCCGCTATTCGTCTCTTGCCCTTTCCCCAAAATCAAGGAATATGATTCTTCTTTGTGGTGAAGTTGTGAAGTGCGGTAGATTTTGAGTTTTCATCTGTAGAATTTTCTTCTTCTTTCTGGTGTATCTGCTGATTGTTTTTTGTTAATATTTTTGTTGAACGTGTTTTTTCTCCACTCTGGACCCCTGGTTTCACTTTTTTGCTAGGCGTGTAGAGCCTGCTTTAGAAAAAAATTAGAAGGGCAAAGAGGTGTTCACAAAGCCTCTGATGCTTCTACTCCATGAGGCTGCTGCTTAATTCAGTAGTAATTTGTTACTACTTCTGATGTATCATGTATCCATGGTAATTTAAGAAGACTTTGTGGAAGAAGACTTTGTGGTTGTCTGCTTCTACTTCTTACACATACACAGCAATAGTAATTTCATTTAAGTTCTTATCGATTGGGTGGTTCTTGCTGCCGCCAATGTGCGAGCTTAGGTGCCTCATCACTTGTGTTGTGGAAGAGTTGAACACATTATTGGGCTGGTTTTCGGAACTGGCAATCCAAATATCCAATGTAGCAAACAAATAAAGAATATAATGATTTTACTTTTAAGTTTATAAGTTCACATTTTCATACAATAATAGGTTGTTGTTCATGTTTAATTTGAAAGGACGATATCAATTTTATTGCATTTGATACTATTTGTAATGTCATTTTCATAAAATCGAACAATACCATGACACTCATTGACATTAGGCTTGACATTGTTATTATTACAACACCATTCTAATGACATAATATTAACATTAACATTGTTATTGTCATTTTTTCATAATGTTACACTTACAATGTCATTTACGAATAAATGTCACAAAATCACATGACAAATGTCACAATATTACAATGTTGTCAAAGAAAATAATGTCACTTTTTGACAATGTGAAACTGTTGATTTCAAAGTATTAAATGATAATGTCAAAATATAATTACACAGTTTCAAAATGTTAACAACCATCTCAATGTCATTAAGTTCTTTTCTTGTCCAGTCGGCTTGATAGAAATCGCCGTCCGGCCGGGGGCATTTCGGATGAAATTTTTTGATGAAAATTTTTAAGCATGTTTTTCATGAAGTCTAGTTTATCTATATCATATTTCATTTCAAAATTTGATCGGGAAATCGAGACATTTTTCCTACGGACAATGAAATTACTGTAAATGATATGGTCTATAACGTGATAATCATTTTTATTCCAGATAACAAGAATAAAAAAAGGACAAATGGTTCTCAATCCTAAGCAGAAATATTCAGCAATTATTCTCGATCCAACTAAAAGAATTAAGGAAATGAGATGTAGCAAACACAAACTGCAAAATGGTTCAATACTTCAATTGCACAATAAAATAAGTGCATCTACACACTCCCCTGCAAGTCGGCAATCAATCAAAACAGGGGTCTAATAATACGATATTGAAAAGTAAAAACAATAAATAGAAAAAGTGCGAAAACGTACATAGAGCAAGGTGCAAAAGCAAGTCAAACAACCCAAAAATAAAAGAGAACTAAGGAAAGACAGAGGTCGTCGGCTAAGCCCAGCAAAAGAAGCAACGTAGCAGCCGGCCCAGAAAAAAACGAACAGGAGGGGAGGAAAAGGAGAGGAAGAGGAGAGGGCAGCTATCCATCTCATCGTACGGATGGTTGTGTTTGAGAGCGGAGTATGCAGCCAGGCAGCACTATATCAAGGGATATTTTTGTCCCATCGTTTAGAAGTAGTCCTATTTAGGGTTTAAAAACTCGTAGCACGGTAGCTCCTATGCTTTTATTTTACTCCTATATAAGTCTACTAGTTTTGTGTCGCGCGTTTCACGATATGATAATGCCCAATATTTTCTATGTAACTTAAACATTTTGTTTTGTGCTTGTTCTTTTGTTTTATTTGAAATGTAAACTTGTTTTGGCAACTTGGACGTTAATCTACTGAAATGGATTATATAATTCAAACTGAAACATGCAATACTCATTGAAAGGAAACTACTACGTAATACGTATTAATAGATACCCATATGAAAAGTAATTGTCTATATTAAAGTGAGAGATTGAATTGGTAAAATATTGAAATGATACTTCATACTTCAAACTTATAAAATGACTTTTTAACACATGAGGTACTTAATCTCCACAGTCTTACAATGAAACAAAAGAAGAAATTAAAGTACTCCTAATTTAGATGGAACACATGATGAATTGAGACCACATCAAGTACGTACGATTAGATCAACTTAGTTACCTGGCCTAGTTTTGCTACGATACCTATTACTCCGTATTACTCGAACTCCAGCTCAGATACCAACAAAAACACAGTGGAATAAGGTGGAGTTATAAGCACCACAAGTTTTACAAGCCTTAAGATTAACAAACACTACAACTAATAACTGAATCAGCACAGATCTTAGGCATGGACTCGCCAAAATTCATAGTGCTTGACATGAATACGTCAAACCCATGTCAAATAACGTCCCAATACCGTTTTCCCACGAGCTATTTAGCACGAAGCCATGCTACCAACCAACAAAAAATATGAAAAAGTGTCTTTATGTACAATTTCTTAGACACATAGCTTTCAAACTAAACTCCTAATTGGTAAATTTGAATGTCTAATACTCTTAACTAAAACTCTGCTAATGTTATATGTATTCTAAACATGTAACATTAATAGTCAATATTGCATAAACATATCACTTACAGTACAATTTGTTACTCTAATGGATGTGAACTATTCATTATTGAATTGGCAATCATATTATATACTTGATGCTAAATATTGTACGTAGCACATATGCAAGTAAATTCAGGATTAGTTCATGTCTCAGCATCTTAAAAAAGAGCACCCTACAAGAGCTCTATTACTCCGTATAAAATTAGAACATAGGACGAAACTCGGAGTATTAAAATAATAGTATTAAACTCGGAGTATTAATATGCAACTCATACGCATTGGACTAGTTTAACACTAATACTCAACTGGCCAACTCTATTCCTGAAGTTCAAAATCTATTTGTGATCTATTTAACCCACATATTTCAGGGCTGTAAAAAAACGGTTCTTCTATTACACATCATTGCAACATCACATTTATTCAATAAATTTTAAATAATCTCAATGCTTAAAACCCTTCATCAATAATGATACTCAAATAATCCGAGATTTGAATCTTAATACCGAATTTTCTTTTTCAATAACCTCCCTAAATAATTTCTCACTCACAATAATAATATTTAAAATAATCATACACATCATCCAATTAAATTTTAAATAAACTAATGGACGAGGATGTCCCAAGTGATCAAAGTATCGGGCTTTAAAAAATAAAACCCTCGTGTGACCTTTCATCTTTTCAAAAAGTTGGACAAATAAAAGTAGTGAAACAGAAACAAAAATGGGAGTGACGGAATTCAATAGCCAAATTAGAAGGGGCCTAAGTGATTAATTTTCACAATAAAGGCTAAGTAATTAATATGTAATTATTAATAATAATCACTCTCAAGGGAATGAAAATTGAAGTGAGCGACAATTAACGGAGAAATGCAACAAGAGCAAAACTTAACGGAGAAAGGATGTCGTACTTGGATATAAAAATGATTGCACAATAACTTAAACCTAGAGATCAAGTTAATATTGCTTTAATATTACACCAACACTTTTTTCATACCATTTATACCCTTACTTTTATTGGTGCTTATAAGATTTGATGATAGATTTCCCTTTACTTTTCATTCTTATTCTGCATGCATACTTGTTTTAATGATCGCCAACATCACTCATTAAAGATGTTTTTACTTATTTAAGGACTGCAATTTTCTGGTCTGAACTGATCTGTTTGAATATGATTTTTTTGTATTTTTTATAACTATTCAAGTGATCTGGTTTAATATGATTTTTTTGCATTTTTATAACTATTTAAGTTTGGTCTGGTCTTGAATATATTACAGTCCAAGTAAAAACATCCCAACTAGTTTAAAAGCAAAATTCGTAATTTATTTGTTGTTAATCATTAAATTCGGAAAGTAAGTTCTAAGCAACTCAAGTATTTCTAACATTTGTACAACAACAAGTGTTACTTTTATCTCTTGTTTTATGTCGGAGGTCCCATATTCTAGCCACCAAAAAATAAAAACCAGAGGAATATATCCAATCTCAATAGGAATCTCAAGAATGCCCATGTAGTTCCCATATAATTGTTCTTATTTCTATTTTAGGAAATAATTAAACTCTTAAATTACAATTTATTCATCAAATGTAAAAAATAATGCATCTATAACATCACAATTATCATTAATGACCCCATGATATTATCAATTCATCAAAACTATTTCTCAAAATATACTCAAAATACCTTATTTAATTATTGTCTAAATAACAACGTCATTTTGCAATGAGAACATTCATGTGGGACAGAGGTAGGAACATTTACTTCATAAATCAGATCAAAAATTGATTGCAATCGTAAATATTCTTAATAAGAAAGGTGAACATAAATTTGAGAATAGCATTAATACAATGTCTATTTAAATAAAAATTAACACATGCAACTTTTTAGTTCTTCCATTACTAAAAGAATTATGGAATACCATTTATACACAATCTAGCTTATTTATCTTTCATATGACACTAATGTTGAATAAAAAATTATTTTAAATAATATTTACAATTTAGGATCGTTTTAAAAAGAAATATGGGATTTTATTTTAGCATGAATGGATTGGAAGGGTAAATTCTAAGCTAGAATAAAACTACACAATCAATTGGAGTGATAGCTTAGACTAATTTTGACCTATCACTCTAATTAATTGTGTGCGTCGTAAAAAATGATAATAAACAAAACAAATCAATAGATTGCTTTATATATGCAACATTGGTGTCATATGAAAAATAATAAAAATTTAGGAGTTTTGAGGAATAATTGAGTTTTAAAATAATACGACGTAATATATTATGAGTAATAAAAAGCCATTATAAATAAAGTTTAGGTACATGTATTCCAAATGGTTATAATTGAATAAATAAGTAACCTTCCGTTAGTAAAATTAATCACAACAATCATTTTATCCCGTGCACGGCATGAGTGAAGGCCGTGAAGATACTAGGATGTTATATCTAAGTTTTTTTTGGACATTCTTCTAAACTCATTATAGTATCTGCTCATGTTAATGCCAACATCCTTAATTGGGATAAGACTCAAACCTGCGATCTTCTCTTTGAGAGATCGACAGTGATATCATCAGACCATAATGTACTTGGCAAAAATTACTCAATAAAAAAGAAAAAAGTTTAAGAGCGTTCTAACTGAATTTATTTAATTGATGTAATTTAAACTTCTTTAGGCTCCCACCACGCAGAAAACCTGAATCTGCCCTGAAGGCAAAAATTAATCATAGGCAAATATCAGCGTGAAAATTATTAATCTGCTTATTGTTTTCATTAAAACAAATAGACATGCAAAATTTTGTATGCAAGAAAAAGAACCTTTAGTTGATAATGAAGGGCAAAATACTATTTCAGTGGAGAAAAACGCATTACCCGAATATATAACATGAAAATAGCACATTCCTCGAATGATAAAATATCAAACAAGATGAAAGACGCAAAGACCAATAAGGCAATAATGGAGTTAAAACTTAAGAGAAACCGTGTTGCTACAATTCATGATTTGTGGGAACATTGAGCTGAGGGTGATGATGAAGATTTTATATTTCTACTCACTCTCCGGTCTCTCCCCTAACCAACTATTCAGAATAGTATATTTGAAAAAACTTATAATAATGAAAACAGAGCCCTCTTCTCCATAGCCCTCCTATTATTGTTGTTATCATAACAAAATCATTCTTTTAGTCCCAAAAGATGTGAAACGTCTTTCCTTTTCCTGGAGTGAAAATTATATTGTTGTTTGTAGGGCGATTCATCAATGATGAGAGATGCAAACTTCACTTGGTGTAGAGAACATCTTCCCACGGGTGGCGGTAAAGCGGCTGCTTTAATCTCTTCTGGTCAAACGTGTGCCTAAGAATAAAATCAAGGATGTAAAGAAGCACATAGATTAACTAATATGAAGTACTAAATTATTAGCATATGATTTAACATTGCATTTTTCTGTTCAACTTTTCTTGGACTCCAATGATGACTAAACTTAATGAATTGGCGAAAAGATTTATTCAAAATCAAATGATTTGGATCCACACCAAATTGACTGCCGAAAAATTGGGAATGGTGTATTATGGATGAACTAACGAAGGTACCAACTTTTTCATATTATCAGGAATTTTTGCCACATTTAGTTCTTCGACATTGGTGTTGATCACACTTTTGATACTCATGTGAATTTTTCATACTATTGTGCCGGAGACACTTGATACCCATTTTATATTCTTTCACTTCTGTTCTTCTAAATACTGTGAAAGCGAGACACTTGTCTTTGATTTTGCCACAATAGGTGGAGAACCAAAAAGTGTCTGCACTAGTCAAAAGACTAAAAGTGAAAAACTCAAAAGCTACACCAGACGAAAGGCCAAAACTAAAAAGACTCAAAGACAAAAAATTATCATTGACACGACCGTCTGAAGGAAAATATTGGCAAAAATTCTTCTCAAAAGTATTATTGAACTAGCTTACCCGATGAGACCAATGGAACGGGCGAGGACAAAGAGTCCATTGAGGTAACCGATCCCAACAATCTCATCAATCTCTTGCTTAGTGAACATTCCGCTTCCTGCTAGGAGATCTAAGAAGAGTGACCCAATAGCACCATCAACATTAAGGACGAGGTTGTTTGCCTTGGAGAGTGTGTAGGTTTCAACCTCAACAGCATATTCCATGTACTTCACAGATGGGAAATTTTCACGGGCATAGCGTTGTAGCAGCTCCACTCTCTTATCTCTGTTGTCACCTCTCTTTATCCTATACGTGTATATACATACCAAAAGAAGAGAGGCTAATTCTGAATAAAATAGACAAATAAGCTTTGATTATGAACGCACAGATTGTTTCCAGGAGAAGAGTTTGTTATGAAAAATGTTTTTGGAGGAAATTGTTTTCCTTAAAACAGAAACCACTTATAAACGGTTTCATGAAAAACATCCCATTTTAAGAAGAAAAGTTAAATTTCACAAGGATATACTTTGCTTGAGAAAAATCTTGTCCGGTGCTAAAGCAGGAAAACGTAGTTTGCCTAATGCGCCTATGTTATCACAACGTTTTTTCAGAAAAAAGTAAACAAACAGAGCCTCTTTGGATGGAGAATTTTGGAGGGGGAAACACAGGAGGACTTAGCCTTTATGTTGATATATATATATATATATATATATATATATATATATATATATAGGGGAAGGTTCACATGGAAACCCCTCTTAAAATGCAAACTCGTGAAAACTCCGACAACCGGTGGTATTTTTGGCTCAAAGTTTTTGTGTATGTTCCTCATCAAGTCTAGTTCATCTATACCAAATTTGAGCAAAAAATTCAATCGGGAAGGTCATCAAATGATTTTTGAAAGAAAACTGGTCCAGAATATACATATAAAATGCAGTTTTATTTAAAAAATCATTTGATGACCTTCCCGGTTGAATTTTTTGCTCAAATTTGGTATAGATGAACTAGACTTGACGAGGAACATACACAAAAACTTTGAGCCAAAAATACCACCGGTTGTCGGAGTTTTCACGAGTTTGCATTTTAAGAGGGGTTTCCATGTGAACCTTCCCATCTATATATATATATATATATATATATATATATATATATATATATATATAGGGAACTCTTCCGGTAAGGTATACCTTACCGGAGCCGCCGTGTGACCTCCACGTTTTGAGGGCCTTCCCTGTGGAAGTTTTCGATGAAATTTTTTTAGCATGTTTTTCATCAAGTCTAGTACATCCATACCAAATTTCAGCAAAAAATTCAATCGGGAAGGCAGTCAAATGATTTTTGGAAGATAACTGCACCATTTATAATATAAAACGCAGTTATCTTCCAAAAATCATTTGACTGCCTTCCCGATTGAATTTTTTGCTGAAATTTGGTATGGATGTACTACACTTGATGAATTCCACCAGGAAGGCCCTCAAAACGTGGAGGCCGCACGGCGGCTCCGGTAAGGAATACCTTACCGGAAGATTTTCCTATGTATATATATTTGAGATTTTATACATATTGAAAAAATAACATAATATCGAATTGCATTTAGAAAAATAGAGTAAGCAGCCATCTAAAATCTTCCCTTCCAAATGTACACAGGGAGTATACAATGATGTACCTGTGACCGATTCCTGGCACTCGAATGCCCTTCTTTTTCATACTTTCCACAAATTCATAAGGTGTAAGCCCCTGCGAACACCAGCAGCACACGGGATTTTTTTTTATAACTTCTTGAACTTATCCACTCATATAGTCATGTCTTATACACAGTAAGAAATCGAAGTATACATGATTTTCTTAGACATAAACAGGTCCTTAGCATTTGTTTTTCTTTCCATAGAATTTTCTGGGATCCGAACAAACCACCCAAAGGGTCAAGGAAAAAAAGATGAAGTCCTAACTCATTTTTATGATCATTTACTTGGCAATGCTCTTTTGATTGGGACAGACAGAAACTTACGCGGTCATAAGCATCTTTGAAATACCGAGCGGCATCATCAATAGCACCACCGAAACGGGGACCAATAGTTAACAGCCCTGTGATAGATTCCCCCATTAGTCAACCAACTAGTTAATCATGACAAACCCGTTTTCAGAGAGTAGTTCGCCCACCAACAGTATACATACCAGAAACAAGGCTAGAGACTAGATCTTTTCCTGCCCTGGCAGTGACTATTGTGTTGTGGGCCCCAGATACGCAAGGGCCGTGATCAGCACATAGCATGATGCAAATCTGGTCAAAGTCAACAGCAACCGGAAAATTGTTGAGGTTTGGAACTTAGATTTTTAGAAACAGTAACATTAAAGCAAGGAAAGAGCACTACAAGAAAAACATAAGCAAATTTATGACATGAGAAAAAAGAGTAATGTGTGTGTATACATAGTACACACACACACACAAAGCCTAACATGTGCGTACACAAACACGCAGGCAAAAAGAAGCAAGAACATACCTCAATAAAGCGAGCACAGTAACGAGGAAGGCTGCGTTTAAACCACAACAGGGAAATGACATCACCCACGCCTAATCCCTGTTCGATTATGGAAGACATTGCAACACCAGCATAGCATGGCTCTTCACCTGTGAATTGAGGATAAATACACTTAACACATTCACTTGCACAAAGTGACCAGATTCCAAAATCATTTGCTAAAATATAAGAGCATGATTGGGATGACTTGCACTGTAAGTGTTTTTATAGAAAGTGCTTTCTCATTTAAGCTTACAAGTGATTTTTTCAATAAGCATCAATCCAATTTTTTTATAAATAAGCACAAAAAGTGTTTTATGTGTTTAAAAGGTACTTATTCCCCCCCCCCCCCCCCCCCCCCCCCGTCAAATGCTTCTTTAAAATATAAGTACTTTCTTTCAAATGAAAAACACTGATTACTTGAAAATTAGTCATCCTAAACACAATCTAGCAATTTGAAATCACACCTCTATCATCTGATATAGTAGAAATAATATGAGTAGGAGCCCGAACTTTTCCACTCTTAATTGCAGTGTTAAGATCTTCCGGAATTAGTGGAGGTGTCACTTCTTTAACTGGAGAAATATTTCCTGCTTCAACCTACACACACACAAAACATGCAGTGGTGGACTGGTGGTTACCAAGGCTAGTAGACGATAACTCCTGCATTTCAGTGAAAGAGTTGAGCATCTACCAATTTCTTAAATGTTTCACTGATCACTCCTTCAAAAGCTTCAAACGAGGTGGGCACCACTGCACCAGCATCCCGTAGGGCTTGATTCTTTGCCTGCGCAGATTCCAACTCTCCACCACTCTTTGCTCCCTAAAAAACCATTAAGATATGAAGTAAGCAATATGGCATGCATCATGAGAAATGGGCGGGAAATAATATGTTTTGTCCTTTGTGAGCTTCAGCAGAAGTTATAATCATGGGATATGATGGAGGGGTCATAAGCTCACCGCATGACCAAACTGAACTTCTGACTTGAAGAGCGTTGCACAAGTACCACTAACCCAAGCAACCACAGGCTTGCTAATCTTTCCTTGTTTTAGGGCTTCAACTAATGAATATTCATCCCTTCCACCAAGTTCCCCAAGAACAACTATCAGTTTAACCTAAAGTGCACACCAAAAGTAAACAATAAAAAGTGAACAACGACGCAAAGAGCTTAAACTTGAATATATATAATTCTCCTTCCTCGATTGAGCATCACATTTGAAAGAATGACAGAAGTAAACCCTTCAAAGTCAGGCCTAATTGATTCAGGATATAAAAGATGGGGGTGTAACTGTGTAAGTTTTGAAGACCTGTTACTTTATTATTATTTCAAAAAGGCAAAAAATGTCACATATCCCCCGAGAGATTATAAACATATAACATTCATTGAAAAACAATAAATAAATGTAGCAGTACAACTCATTAAGAAGATCATTTTCATGGAGCGGATTGAAGATAACATAAATTACCTGTGGAATATTGTTAAATCGCAGAACATGATCAGACAGTGTTGAGCCGGGAAACACGTCTCCTCCTATTGCGATACCTGCAGGGATGCAAAATAAACTCAGTTTTTTTTATGACTACGTAACAGCAATAAAGAAATATGTAGCAACCATTATAATAGTAACATAACCTATAAAGCACAGAAACCCTCGGAAAAGAGTACATTTATGTTTCGAGAATTCTACATAAACTCTTTGAGAACACTCCAAACAATTATTTTTCTATTAAAAGATTATGTTTCCCATTTCCCCATGTTTCCCACATTTCCATGCAACATGGAAAATAAGAAATACATGAAATGGCACACCTTCATAGATTCCATCTGTCACTCTGGCAATGGTGTTGTACATTTCATTTGACATACCACCCTGCATTTAGGATAAAAGTATTACTCTTGAAAAAACAATCACAACTTCACAAGCATAATTCAATATGATCCTTAATCACTTAAGTATGCAATTTAGTATTCGCTGCATCCCAAAAAAGACTCGCATTTCAAGAAGTTTTATCCCAAAAAGAGTCCGGTTTAAAGCTCAACATTCTTTTCTATGAGAAAACCTGAAAAGCCAAGCAGCAAGCAGGTTTCTATTAAACAATTGCTCCAACAAATCTTGTTACCAAGTTTAAGTGGTATATAAGTGATTATTCATAATTTGTAAAAGCTTGTAACTTGATTGAGTTGACTGATTGAGTCAATATAAAAATGATGTACCTTAGTCAAACATGACTCTTTTTTGGGACAGGGGGAGTAATGAACAGATCCGGGGATGCCAGAAAAACTTAGCAGCTTCAACATACGCTTGTACAGTGTTATATTATTTTAAAATGGGAAGTCATATACTCATAAAAGTGTGTGTGTGTGACTGTGTGTTGTCAATTAAGATTGCAAATCTCTCTCAGACGCTCATGCGTTGATAAGTAATTGTACACATAAAAATATTATCAAATGGGTGATCCTCTATGCTATACTCACTGATTTGGAGACAAATCCAACAGATCCAGGTCTGTATAGCTTGCATTGAATAATGTTATCAATTGTTCCAGCAGTATCACCAATTCTAAAAGCACCCGCTTGAATTCCACCAACTGTAGCAGGACCAATAACAACCTGAGAGTGAAATAAGATGGGTTTACAATAATAACCAAGTGTAAAATAAAAAGAAATAAGAGAACAAAGTCAATCATGATTTCATCACTCAAACATGATATCTTCGATTCCTGGCCATAACATAGTGCTTCTTGTGGTGGGATAATGTGAAGTAGGTTTACCTTGTTGTTTGCCTTCGCATAGGCTATCAACTGTTTGGTGTCTAACTCAGGAACACCTTCAGCTATAATTGCAACAACTCTGATAGTTGGTTGTTTGAGAGCAGCCATGGAGGAAGCGGCAGCACTGCAATTCATTGAAGATGAAGATATTTTCATCCAAAAAAATTGAAGATGAAGATACAAGATACCCTATAAATGAAGGAGGGGAGAAAGGGAGAGATGAAAAAGAACCAACCTTCTAAAGGATGCAAAGTTAATGAAAACATCAGCTGTAGGGTGAGCAGCACAAGCAGTTTCAATGCTGCAGATTGAAAAGATAAATTAGAAGCTGTTCCAATGGTGATGGAAAGTCTAGAACAGAGCCTGAGTGCAGAAATCAGCAGAATCACGATCTTTACTAGTTCAAAGCTACATCCTTAACCAAACTACTCACATTAGCTATTCTTATATGCAGTGCATTTTTTTATAGATCAGGAAGTTGTAACTCCATTATCTTTGTGCCAAGGGTAGTACTCATATTAAAGGTTTAAGAATTCTTATTATAACATCAAAAAAGTAATTTTAACTCAACAGATTCAATGCGGGATAACAGTTAAACATTACAAAGGCCACAAAATCCCAAATTAGGGAAAACCAAGCAGCTGAACCTGAATGGCAGCAAGAACCTTTCAGAGTTTAAACAAACACCCAGAACAGCAAACTAGGATAATAAGAGTTGATAATTAGAAACGAACGCTGAATGTACTGGAATTGCAATCTCCTCCTGACCGAAGAAGAGCTTTTGGAATCCTTCTGAACCAGGATTTATAATTCCAGCAACAGAAGGCGTTTCTCTCCCTGTTTATTGTGTAATCAAAGGTTATTGCTAATTAATAATAAGTTGAACAATACGTTATGCATTTTTTTCGAATCCATTTCCTACAAAACGGAAAAAGAAGCACAATATAAGATGACATACACACCGCAAAGGAAGTCAAAATCAAGCATCCGTTGGATGGGAAGTTGCTTGAAGTTGTAAAACAACGCCTGGGTGGTCTTGGAAAAAAGTTGTCCAGTTGCCATGGTCCCCTATGAATTCAAAACTGTAGAAAATAACAATATTAGAAAAGCCTCAGTATATATTAAGTCAAGAAGATATATTGTGTGATTACTAATTATTTCTACATAACTATTGTAGCAAAAGATAAAACTCTGTATTCAGTTCGTAAGGATCAAAATATTTAAGATTGCAATCTATATAAAAAATGTCTTCTTGGTTCTATGCTCACATGCATAACTAAACCAATCATTTTTCCCATATTGAAATTTGAAGAGAAAAAACGCAAAAGGTGGCTGGATTGTATAGATCATCATCAACTCCATATGACCATACACATTGACATCATCATGAAGAAGGATGATCAAATCACGCACAAAATCGATGTTAATGTATTCTTTCTGCATAGTCAGTCAACTCCTTAAAATAAAGAATGAATATACAATAGTCAGTATTCCTATTTTGTTAAAAAAATAGAATAATAACAGCTTGCATCTCAGGATTAAGCAATTAAAGGTCTACCAGTTTGTCAAACAAATGTTAAGGTACTTCATGAGTTCTTTGGTTGTTCCATAATAGAAATCTAGAATATATAAGGGAATATGTTATCTAAATTCCCAACACAGAAAGTTTTCCCAATTAGTTTTCAAAATGTTTTTGTTTTCAAGTGAACAAGTGTCCTAAAATTTCATATGGCATGTGCCATTATTGCAAATATAAAAATAAGTATATGTTAGAACTGATACATAATATATATTCCAAGGTACACGCTCACAGACTAATAATTTAATATCTCATATTCAATTTCAGGGATCCTTAGTAATAATATAGTTTTACTAATGGTATTGTTGCGGGTTTGGGCTCCTGCTGTAAGCATAAAGTCCTAGCTTTGAATAATTTCTTTGACATCCAGTTTTATTATATAGAGCTAGTATTTCATGAAATGTGTCAACTATTAGCAAAAAAGAGTCACAAAAAAGTTGCTTGTCATCATCATCATCCCAGTGTATGCAGTCTTGCCCCTGTACTAAAGCACAAAGAGACTGTTTCTGGATGATCCAAAGTAAAAATCACATCCAAAATTGCATGGACTGGCTGCTGCTTCATAGCAAAGAAGCGCAGACAGTTTCGTGAGCCATATTGCTTTATTCCATCATATTTTCAAGCCAAAAAATAGTGAGTCTTTGGCTCCATTACAAGTTCCTTGTATATAACAAAAAAATCAAGTGAGATCTACTTACAACAACAACATCCAAGCCTTGGCCCCAAACGATTTTGGGGTTGGCTAACATGAATTGATACATGACATCGGAGCCAAAAAGATAAGAAAGAAAGAAATAAGGTAAGATAATAAGGGATAAGAAGAGATTAAGAAAAGTTAAAGATAAGATAAAAAAAAGGTAAAAAGAATATTTACTCCGTATAAAATAAAAAAGGATAAAAGTATAAAGAACATAAGAAATATAAAAATGATAAAAAGATAAAGGAAAGAAAATATGGTGGATGACAGTTGCATCCTAACAAACTTAAGAATTACACTGATTACGCGTCACTGAATTGTGGGAGACTAACAACAACATCCAATCCTTACTCCGAAAAGAGTTTGGGCTCAGATAACATGAATCAACAAATGAATTGTGGGAGACTAAGTAGAGTGGAAAATACTTAAGGCGACCTGTATGTGCAATGGCGTACAGGTGTTCTATAACTACCTATGATAAGGTGTTCACATCGCTGTGATTTGTCAGAATTCTATAAAAACATCATGTCGAGCAATGTCCATAAAAAAATCTAATATAAAAAACAAATATGTAAAAAGATTTCAGCAATTATAATTTGCCTAAATTGATGTTACCAACACTTCGGAATTCATTAAAAATACCAAAGCATTCAAAATTTCTCAAACCAATGAGTTGGCTTATTTTAAATATCAGCATTATATTTCAACAAATTTAGTTACGCTCTGAAAATAAAAAGCCAAATATTCATGTTTATTTATGAAAAGAGAGCTTTAGTGATAAAATATAAATGCTATTGGATGATCCGAAGGTCCATGTCTCTATATTAGAGGTCTAATGCCTAAATAATAAGAGCCCCTAAGATAAGTTAAACAAGATGTAAAGAATACCAAACAGAACTAACGAATTCTTTAGTCATGAGTACATTATATTTTGTTAGCATGTCCAAAATAATTGGAAATTAAGTTAACGAAAAAATGTCAAGTAAAAAGTTCAAAGAGCAACTTTGATCAATCAGGTGACCAAAATTAATATTTAGATTCAAAGACTCCTATATGTATATTTATATTAGTTAAAATGGAATTAAAAATATTAACATTTATTATAAACATTATCAAATATATATACCAAAACTCTATTTTTTTATGGATGAATTCCGATAGCTCTATGACTGAATAAAATAATTAAGGTTGGACAATTGCATTGTATTGGGATCTTAAGAAGGCATGAATAATTAAGAAGGCATTGTATATTTATACTCACACACATAAGAGTATTACGGAGTATATAATAGAGCACTCGGATGACACTACTTAGCCTCTTAGGAAACAATTTACTAGGAGTTAAGTGATATGTATTGTATATAAATAAATACATATAGGGTATAAAGAAACTGTCCAAAATTATCCCAAACTATCCTATTTTTGTATGCGAACAGAACTTTGTCTTTAATTTTTAAAGTTTGAGTACAAGAATGAAATAAATACGATCTCTATCACAAATTCCACTAATAATGACTAGATTTATAAAAAAGGGATGGAATTCCTAATTTTCTTGGACTTTATTTGAATCCAAGCACAGAAAAGTTTCAACTCTGGAAGACAGATGCAGATCAGATACTCATTAATACAATCTCTTTGATGTGGAGAAATGAAGTGGGAATATATGAGATCAAGAAGAAATGAAAATTAGAGAAAAGGAGAATGAAATGGGGCAGCATGTTTACTGATGAAGAAGGAATAGTGAGAGCTGAGAAATGAGTTAGAGTGGACGAATGAGCCGTCACCTGAACTCAAAACCCTAGCACTAAGTTGATCATATACGATAGCAGCAATGACAGATTGACAACTAACGAGTAACTACCCAGTAACAATGCAAAAGATGGAAGCAAATTTCCGACTAAATATTCCCAGATCTTCGGATCAACCCCTAACCGAAGAGATTGCAGGGGTATAACATTTCACCGTAACTACTCCACCTACCAGTCGTTAAACAGATCCACTCCAGATCACTACTGAAGATCAAATCCAAGTATACTCACGCTCCATAGCATCAGAAACTCCAACGATCAATCACACAAACAGATAAATCGAGTAGCGACTACACACACAGATAGAAATGAACTCCGGATCCGAATTCCGAATCCACAGCTGATGAAAAACAACAAATCAGAACAGAAAATGCAAGTAGACCTGAGTTTGGTAGGTTGCTCAAGATCAAGGTGCCTCCTGGCCGTCCTGGGGAGAAGCAATGGACCGAGCTAAATCACGGGCATATACATTTACACAGAGAAATGTCTGTATTAATATACTCCGAATGTTAGAATGTATCTATCTATCTATAGCTATATAAAAAACGCTGAAAAGGGGATGCCCATTACTGGGGGGTGTATTAAGGTCAGAGATACAGAGAGGGAGATGAAGCACGTGGCAGGAGGTAGTTAGCTCACATAATGATTCAATTCTCTTATTTTATTTCTTAAAAAATGATGATAAGGGTTGTTGGAAAATTAGTAGTCCGTAGATCTGAGTGGGTTGGGCGTCGAGATGGACTGCAGAAACCTACCAAAAATGTCTGAATCTTCCGGGAAAAAGCGGTCGCATTTGGTCTTCACTTTTATAATTCACATACCCCACTGCAGAAATATTTGATTTGCTCGTGTGTAGTTCTAAAAAAATGACATTCACCTTTTCTCTTTCAAAATGGAATGGAGAGTGAAGTTGTGTAATTGGAATTGGAATTGAATCTAAGAGATCTCCCTTTTTGCACATTGATTTCTTGTGTAATTCTATATAAGACATTTGTATGCGAGAAACATTCTCATATCAGAATCTCAAGAGTGGTATTATTGTGAGTTGTATTTGAGATTTTCTAAAAGTTCTAAGAATATTTTTTGTGATTTTTATAGAAATTGGATAGGTTTATAGCGGTGTATACATGCATCTTTTTTTAAGACTTTTGATCTCTTAAATTATTGTGTTCTTTTCTATAATATATTTTTTTATTTAAAATTTGTAAGTTTATACATTTTTATTTCCAAACTATAACTGTCTGATTTATTTCTCATTTGGGATTAGAAATTATAGTTCAGGATGTAGTTATACTTGAGATTATACACATAAGAGTAATCTTAATTTCGAATTTCAATGGCTCAAACTATAGTTCAGGATGTAGTTATACTTGAGATTGGTACACATTTGTATTAACTTCTTACGGAGTATTTGGTATGTATTTACTAGTTTTAGATTGTGAAAATCAACATAACCTGTCATATCTCATACATACATAAGTGTAAGAAAAAATGTACTATCTGGATTGCAAATTACTACTGACATATTCCTGGATAAAAAATTTAAGTGGGGCAAAATCATCTCATTATCAAAAAAAAAAAATTAAGTAATCATATACTCTTGCACATATGGGCTTATCATAGTCATTATTATTTAGAAATTTGACTTATTTTGTTGTACACAAAATAATTATAAACCGGACTTGTAATAGAAGACCTCACGTAACATATAACTCCTTTTTGTACCCGAGGGTCGGGGTCGGGGGCTGGAAGTCTAGGTATATTGGAATTAAACTCATTCCATTGAGTATTAAACACGGGATCTCTCATAAAGGAGGGTGAATTGGGGATCAGCTAAGCTGAACCGCTTTCTCCACCTAACATTCTAGATCCGGGATCTCTCATGAGTTCATTGTTGTTAAAATTTGAGAATAGATTGCAATTTATCAGTCAAATGGACCGTGAAGGATTTAAGTACCGCGTATATTGGGATAAGGGTCAGATAGGGCCTCGAACTTAGAAAAAAATGTCAAATAAAGCCATATTTAGGATGCTATGTCCGGTTGACGCCATTTGGGGCGGTTCCCGGTGAAATTTTTTGATGATTTTTTTTAGAATCTTATTCATTAAGTCTAGTTTACTCATATCAAATTTGAACTAACAGTTCAATTGGGAAGACATTCAAATGAATTCTTAAAGATAACTACGCTTTTAACTGCACAGTTATCTTCAAGAATTCATTTGAATGCCTTCTCGATTGAAGTTTTAGTTCAAATTTGATATGAGTATACTAGACTTAATGAATAAGATTCTCAAAAAATTTCATCAAAAAATTCTATCAGGAACCGCCCCAAATGGCGTCGGCCGAACAGAGCATCCTAAATATGGCCTTATTTGACATTTTTTTTCAAGTTCGAGGCCCTATCTGACCCTTATCCCTAAATTTATAAATACTGCCCATAGCTTTACTCTTTAAAATGTAGCTGCCATAACTCTCCGTTAGTTCACTGTTTCTGGGGCAATTGCCAATTGGATTGAACGATGTAGCTGTATGGTGTTGGTAGATCATATGGCTGGAATATATTTGAGTGTTGGGTCACGATATCAGCGACAATTCCCACATTTTTGGTGGTCTTTATGATAGTTGGGAGTTGGGACCCCTGTAACTTTAACAGTACGTTAAAGAGGGGACAAATTTGAGGTACGAGCCTCCCCTTGGGTCCTGTTTTCCAATTCAACCGAGAAAAATAGGATGACATCCCATTCCTGAGGGTCCCCAACATCGACCGGACAGCACGATGAGAGGATGTAAGTTGGACTATAATCACAACCTGACTGATAGAGAGTGAGGCTCCGTCCCCGGTACTTGCAGAGGCCTTATGCATTTTTCAGCATGGTAACCCTTATCGCAGTTGCCGGGATTCGAACCCAAGACTTAACCCATGTGGCACTCGCTCGCTACCAGTTGAGCTATGCCCACAGGTATACGGCCGAGACTAAAACAACCCTCTTGATGTTGGTAAAATGGCCAATGAAAATGGATAGCGGCACCCCTAGCATTTGAGGTACTTATGTGTCACTACTTAGAACATTTTCAATATAAAAATGTGAGCGTGAGTGATGCATATATGACATATGAGAGATAGACACCTAAAAAACAATTAGTAGAATATATTTCTCTTCTTTTGAACAATTTAATATGTTTTTGGTAGTATTTTCTTCACAATGTTTAGATGTAGATATTGGGATAGAAATTATTGAGAAAAAATTGCCAAATACATATAAAAATTGTGGAAAGATGAAGTGAGAGAAATGTCACGAGTTTATTCTTTTGTGTCTATCTATCTCGTATTAATTCCCTCAGCCCTGTTAAGAATGTTTTTTCTTAGACTAAAATTTTCTGGTCTGGTCTGGTCTTATCTGGTCTAGTCTGAGCTGGTCTGGTAAAGTCTGGTTCTTGTGTATTTTATAACTATCCAAGTCTAGTTTGGTCTGGTCTGGTCTGATCTGGTCAGAGTTGATCCAAGTCCGGTCTGATCTTGTCTAGTATGAGACTAAAACAGTCCATAGTAATAGCATCCTAAGATGGTCTCATCTTTTTTTCGTCCGTCCCCCTAAATTTGATAAATTTTGTGTAATTCCAAATTACTCATGCTTTATTACGGAGTATTATTTTATCACTTCAATATCAACTACATAAACTCACTTTTCTTAATAATCATAACACATCTTTATGTTTCTATGTTAGTGTAGACTTGTCAATGGGTTGGGTCTAGACCCGGACCCAACCCGAACCCGGTTATTTTTAACGGGTACGGGTCTATATTTTAGTCTGTTTATCCGGACCCGTTAGTACTTTTAATAAACGGGTTGGGTATGGTACATATGATTCCGACCCGTTAAGGACTCGGACCCGTTTATTTTTTTTTATATGTGATGGAGTATATGGCCCAGGAACCCCCGGCCCATAGACTCCTACTTCTCCTACACAAGTCCATTGAGCCCAGGGAACATCTCGGGCCCAAATGCAACGGCCCAAGCCTCAAATAAGCCCGGAATACACACTGGGGTGCCTTCGGCCTCCTTGGCCGAAGGCTCCAAAACTCACGGGATAGCTTTTTGGGCATACGAAGCTACTGAGAGAAAATGGCGGAAAACAGGAGCCTTCGGCATCACCAAAGCCCTCGGCATCAGAAAAGCCTTCGGCTGAACCAGGCCTCCGGTCGCACAGAGCCTTCGACCACGCAGGGGTCCTCTGTTACATGGAGCCCTCGACTACACACGGAGCCCTCGGCTACACAAGGAGCCTTCGGCCAAACATGCTCAATCATCGAAGATTCCTTTTGGAGACAGCCAACCACCGCATTTAATGCAACGTCACATCCGCCAACCGCATTCAATGCGGTGAACGTACCACTGCCGGTGCCACCCGATTGATGTGACCCCTCGGCCGTTGGATTACTGACACGTGTACTCTCATCGCATTTATTGCTGCTATAAATAACAGCCCATTTCTCCTTGTAAAGGATCTCATCCCAGATCCACATCTCGAGTTCATTTAATAAAATCGAATCTCTCTCCTCCTATTTACTCTGACTTCTCTCTAAGTTATTCCCGCAATAACCTCTCGGATAAGATACACCCGGGTAGACTGTCCATCAATATGTATACACACACACTAATATAAAGTGATTAGTTTTAACACTTCAAATAAAAAATACAAACTAATACACACACGCATATACACATAATAATACATAGAGTTATTAGTTGCATCTCTTCAATTAAAAATATACACACTAATACATACCTACTATATAAGCGATATTGATAGGGATAGTGAGATAACCTAAAATTAATGTCCATTTTGATCGTTTATACATAATTACATACTGATAAAATGTGTACAAGGCTTGGTAGGCAAAGCATGATATTTATTATTATTGTTATTATTAATATTATTATATCATTATCGTAAATTATATGTGGTTATACTCTCAATAGTCCAAGAGACATTTTTGTGACTTAATTTCTAGTTTTTTTTTGTGCGAGAGAAACTGACACAGAGTGTGGAGTTATATACTATCCTCCGTTCCATAATTCTTGCAACAGTTTAACTTTCACGTTTGCCAATGCACAACTTTGACTGTAATTATATTTAATTATGTATTAGTAAACATTATAAAAAGTTGATATTTTGGAAATTCACATTGATAAGAGTTCAATAACATTTTATACGTAATAATTTGATTATGTATATTAGTAGAAAATCATGGTCAAAGTAAGATCTGTGAATAGTGTAAAAATCACAATGTTGCAAGAATTATGGAACGGGGGAAGTATATGTCTCTACAAGAACCAATACTTTATTGGATAAACATATTAATTTTCTTTGAGAAAGCTTGATCTTCTTTGTAAAGTTAAGATATATTTTTGCTTTTAAATTTGCACAGTTTGCTTTACATTTCATTTTCAGGTCTTGTTATTTTGACAAAGTTTATAATGGGTCCGGGTCTACCCGATCCGGTTCCGAGACCCGTTGGATATAAGTCCGGGTCCAAATTTTCAGACCCGCTGGGTAAACGGGTCAGGTCCGGATCCATTTTTAACTTAGCGGGTCCGGGTCTAGAACACTACGTTCCGGCCCAGACCCGACCCATTGACAGGCCTAGTTAGTGAGACGAAAATAGTAGTGCTTATAAACTGATGCGGCCTCTATCTAGCTAATGTGGAATAGTGGAACAGGTTACTCTCTAAGGAGCCTGGAAGATGTTTTTATAATAAAATAAATGTCACACATATAATTGAGCTAAGCCCACTATTAGCTAAATGGTGAAAGCATACCAATGAGTGCACAAACTTTCAATTTCCGAAATGCTGAAATACTGAAGAAAATTAAATAGGCATCCCACTACTTTCCACTAGAGGGTTGTTGAACAATGTTGGACGCCATATATAATACCAACAAGAGAGACTGAACTTTTGAAACAAAGTCATCCATTTCGGAATTGATAAAATCAATTATTGAAAGAGATCGGAAAACTAGAAAAGTGACTCGTTTAGAGCCTCTGCAATGCTATGGTGCATTGGAGATGATGTAGCAACACAATGGAAAGAGTCTATTTGATGTATGGACAATTTTCTTAAAAGTGATAGTCTATTCAAAGTGAGTGCACTCTTCTCCAAGCCTCCAAGGTGAGACCTAAGGTTCATATATGGACCTCATACTAGATCTTGTCTCTCTTTTGTAATTGTCAACTCAGCATGATTAGGTCTTTTTTTTTACATTGGAAACTACATTTGTAAACAAAGATTATATTAGCTTATGTGTGGAATAGTAATCCATTTCCATATTGGAGATGCCCTTAGAAGCCAATTTTGTACGTAGTAATATGGAGTACTCCGTATAAGATATATAATAATATAATATTATTCAAAAATAGCCTCTCTAACTCTATTACACCCTTATACGAAAATCCACCTCTACCCCCCAATCCCCTATAACAAATCGTTATTCCACTTGACTGATCAAATAACAATGAATTTTTTTATTTCATAAGAGATGATAAATGATTCAAAATAAAAAGTAGGGTTAAACTAACAGATAAAAAAAGAAAAATAGAAAATAAGTTGGTTTAACTCCATTTTATTTATAAAGACGATTTTTTTAGCTTCAAACAATCAAACGTATCACATCTATTATAGATGTATTCTACTACTACATCAAAACCTCAAAATTAGGGACACCATATCCGGAACACAGCTTATCAATATTTGAAGCAAACTAAATATAAATAAATTGAGGGTTACTACATAGTACATACTCTATAAGACTATAATTTACATAGATTTTAAGTTTATCATATGAATTATATTTGTTTCCTTTGTAGAAAACTTTTAAAATTGAGAATTACGTAGAATTTTCATACTTAGAATTTGTTATGCATCGTGGGCTGCAGTTAGCCACCCTTAGGCCAAGCTTTGCCTCGAATCCCAAGTATCACACATTCACTGGAGAACGTAAGGGGGTCTGAGACTCTGAGGGCAAGTGCTTCCGCTTCGACCCGTATATTCATTATTAAAACTTATGGTGAAAACCAGTGTCCCCAATCGGACAAAAAATTATAATTATTACTCCGTATTATTTTTCATCCGTAGGTTACTGATCACATCAGTTTCAAAGATAGAGAATGGTTTTAGTGAATCAAACATAGAATTACTCACTATTTAGCATGTCTTGATCCTAAAGATAAGTTCTACAATTTATGTGAATCAAATCTATAAAATCTCGTGAAGATATATTTGTGTGATCTTTTATCTCTTGATCGAATGGGCCTGAAAGAGTAACTCCATCTTTGTGTGTTATATGATATGAGAACAAATGAATTATTTTCTACCGTACAAACTATTAGTGAAGCATGTAAAAAGATGATTAAGCTTTAAGTTCACAATTTTTTTCATAGGTCTATTGTCAGATTGAGTTGGCTTTAATATTACCGGTTGTAACAGCCACCATTAAAAGTGCTTCTCTACAATGAATACTATCAAGATAGAACTTAGCAATAAGATTGGAGATTACTTTTTTACAGATTGCTCAGTATGCTACATCGAGAGTGATATTTTAGAAGCATCGATAGTGGATTTCTTTCGGTGATGACTTTCTTACCAATCGCAACATTTTCAAAATCTGGAAACTCACAAAGTTGATTTATCGAAGTTGTAATAATAACCTGTTTAATATGTACTACATAATTAACTACTCCATATAATTTGTGCAACTGAGTTACTTTTTATTATGTTTATTACATTTGAGATTGTTATTATAAAGTAAGTTTATTGTCTCGTAGTGTACTCCGCTCTCACAAATCTTTGGATTTACATTCACACCGTAAATATCTAAACATATGACTATACAACAACAACATCTAAACATATGATTATGTGAGAAAAAAACATATGAAGCACGACTGCACGACAACGTACTCACTATGGAGCATGTTGACGTGATAAATGATCACAACTCTCTAAATATTTTAGATGAATAAATCGTGGTTGTTCATCACGCCAATGTGCTCTATAGGGACAACATTGACATGCTCTACTTTTCTCCTATATGACTATATGAGGACCCAAATACTGGGTGACGTTAGACATTTATCAAAAATAAGGCGAGTACGTAGTCAAAACATGATTATTTTAACTTGGATAAGATCGTAGGTGACATCCCGTACAAGTCAAACATTAGCAATTTAGTGTGATTCCGGTTCCAACCAAATAAAACCAATACGGTTCTGATCTCAATTGTTTGAAATAGGGTGGGTATAAATTAGACCAAAAACACCTGGCACGCAATAGTTACGCTCCCAATTACTCCCTCCGTATCAGATATATCTTCCCACTTCCAAAGTGGATGAGATTAAGAATAGTGAAATGAAGTATGAATTATTGAGGGTATAATGGGAAGATGATGAAATAATGTGATGGAATGAAGGATAAATCCAAAAAAAGTAGGTGTAGTAGTGTACTATTTTTTAAATCATTGAGGGTATGATGGGAAGATTTAGAAATGGGAAGATATAAATGTTACGTCCAAAAAAGGAAAGTGAGAAGATATAAATGTTACGGAGGGAGTACGATTTACAATGAACCAGTGACCGCCACGGAAACTCGAAACCGGCAGGGATCCACCCTTACTTGAAGACCACGATTCAGTAAACTAGATAATAATACTAATGAGAATTAATCAAATTTGAATCCGGGAAACAGGAAAAAGAGTATTCACTATTTTGATTTTCCCTCCCCTTGGTAGGTAAAATTGGAGTAACTGAGGAAAGAAAAGCAAACAAAAGTAGTGTTGAATGGTAATAAGTAAGCAAGCATAGCACATCCTCTATTCCTCTAGAGGAATGGTAAATTGAAACACCTGCTTGCATTTACGTAGGACATTCTATGTGGGTATACATATAGGACGATCAGACATAGGAAGATCAATTAGCTTTACCTAAAGCATTCACAGCTAGAGATATACGACCAAAAAACGAGCATTTGGAGAAACACGAGACTAGTTTCTCCACCTCGGTTTGTAACTATTTCTATGTCCATCCAATCACACCTCAAGACTTGGGGGAAAGAACATCTATTAGCCAGGCTCTATCTATACTAGGATGGAGAAGTTATATTAGTTATTGGCAAGTCCGGGCGATCAGCAAAACTTGGCAGACTTGAAAGCAATCGGGTACTGGAATGTGTTTGAGTAGGTGAATCTGATCATTTGACTGGTCTTCAAAGGCTTTCCTTCATTTACCAAACAGTCATCATAGTTGAGCCTCTTAAATGCATTTGGGTTCACTATTCTTGCGGAGGCAAACCAATCGCAGTGGAGGTGAATGTTGGAAGGGGAGCACCCAGAAAAACATGTGTTTACTATCTCAACTACATACTGTGGTATCCCGGTTGTTGAGTATGTGCTCTGTGAAATGCTTATGTCCTTGTTCGTGCAAGATCCTAATCAACAAACATATAAACAAAAATCATGCATATATGGAACTCCAAATTGTCAAGCAATGAACAGATGAAGGGTAATATAGACAAAAAAGTAGAAGGAAAGAAATGTGTGTGCGTGGGGGTGGGGTTATTGGTTCAAGTTCAAACAAATTATTTCTTATAATTGTTTCAAGCCAAACAAATCTGAGCATATGTGAAGCATTTAAAAACAAATCATATTGATTTTCTTTTGCATTTTCACTGGTAAAATAATTTATCTTAGCATTGATTTTGCTTACCCAGCATTTCCCAGGTCTCAAACGTGCCCTCACCATTTAAGGATTCTCCAATCATTACAGCATTTGAGAACGGTAAAATTGACTTCAATTAAGATATCAATGGCATGTAAAAATAGATAGATAGTTACCATGGACTAGAATTTTTCTGTGGCTTCTATACGCCTTCTCTGGTTTCATACTAGTGGTTATGTTGTTCCCATCTCCCTGGGATTGGTGCCAAAACATTCCTGCAAAAGGTAGATCCATATCAATGGAACTTTAGATCTAAAAAAATATGCATGTACTGTGAACAGTTCAATTTTATTCTTTTCAGCTAGATACCTGTCTCCCTCCATTCAAGTCCAAAACCACATATTGCAATGATGATGACCAAAGAGATGCAAGAAAGAAGAATATAACGATTGCTCACGACAGGCATTGGAGTAAAGAATGGCTTATCCAAGTGGATTCTTAGACCCTGTGATAATAAAGCAGCAACAAGAAAATTAAAAATGGATAGAAGAAGAAGAAACTATAGAAAGGATTGATAGAAAAAAATCAAAGAACTGCAATCATTACTTATATTGATTAGTCTCTACAAATAGCAATCTCTTGGTTCTTGGAGAAATGATAAAGCATATAACTAATATAAGGAACTCTATGAATGCAACTATTCTCAAACAAAATTGGCACACCCAATTTTAATTTCTCCACATTTCAAGACTTGTTTTTAGCACTAGTACATATCCCAATTATCATAGCCTACATTTTTAGCTGAGGATCTGAGATACGCCCTCTATGAGCTCCGCAAAAAAACAGATAGCTTAACAAAGTATGAACATCAACTAGTCTGTGGGAATAAATAACTTCAAACGCAGCTATACAATCAATTCATTCAGCATTTTCGACAGTAATTGGATTAATTGAGTTGTGTGGTACATGATAAATCATAATGGAAAAATATACTAAAGAGGTGTTATGTACAACCAAATGGGCTTATAAGCGTAATCTGAAGCCAATAAAACACCAACCACTTCCACTTTGGCTGATTCCACTGTTTATGATTTTCAGCTAGAAAAGGATTAGCATAAGATACTTATGCTGATGAAACCGGTTTTAGTATAGCCCACTACATGAAGGACTACTTAAGCCTTTTTTATTCTGGTTTTATTCTGCTTTTACACAACCTAGCAGTCATTTCAGCCAAAGTAATTACCAAACACTTTCACTTTATATAAGTTTCAGTAATTTCACCACTCGCCAAAGGGTGCCCAAGTGTTTTTGGGGTCAATATAGTTACGGGATTCAAATAGTTAATTAATCTCCTCTCCACGAAGTCGTGAGTAGGGGTCTCTCACATCCGCTGGATGATGGCCTTATTCCAGAAGTAGGATGTTCAGAAGCGGCAAGCAGAGCCAGAGAGAGCCCCACCTTACAGTCCTACTACTTTGGATGTTAGCTATTTCCTGTTCATCCTCGCCTTTGTCAATCCTATCGTATTATGACATTACACAATCCTTACCTCACAAAATGAACGGAAACTACACTTTCAACTCAAAATCCCATTGAAGCATCTCCATAACCACACTAATAAGCAGCTTTCCTAGAAATACTCGCATTTACATAATCCGAACACATATTTGACCGAGAACTCTGAACATGGATAAACACTACTCATTCAAAAATGAAAACATAGAGCAATAAATAGAAAGAATACATCGAACTAAAACTCGAACAAACCGGCCCTAAATCTAACATTCGCAGGTCGGCCTCGACGTAAACCAGAAATGTAAAACGGAATCCAGAAAACCGCAACACAAACGGAAGGAAAGTGCAGAAATCGACTAAAACTGCAGAAGATAACCAGAAGATAAGTAGCTGGACTCAATGCCAAAAAACATCACTATCCATACGCCATTGAAGACAAAACATGAAAGGCAATGTGCGGGGAACAAACCTACTGTTTGCTGAAGAATGTAACAGAGAGAAGGAAGTAGCCGACAGGCGCAGCGAAAGGAGAGTAACTTTTGATGCGGGAAAAGGAAGCTCCAGATGAATAGCAGAAGCAGCAGAAAGGAGAGCGTGGAGATGGCGACCGGTGAGAATGAGCCAAACGTAGAAAACAGTGGGGATGATGATGATTCGTTACACACTCCGTATTTATTATTCCGTATTTAATAATTGTGTGAATGTTTGTTTAAACTGTACCCACCCTTGTCACGATTTGATATTCGACTCGATATTCCTAGGCAAATTCTTTAACGATTTAACACTATTTACATTTGACTACATTTTACCTTACTATGTAATACTCCATCTTACATTCTTACTTAAAATAATACCCTGTTTTACTCAAAATAATCCAAGTAATAATGACCCCAAAATGATAACAAATTGTACTAATTAAAAAATGAAGTGAGTTAACAAAATGATGAGAAATATAAAAACTAATAACATAAAACTATTTTCTCTTGTTTTTCTAGTCCGTCTACTACGACTCTTTGCAAATGTCGCACCGTGTTGAGGTTTATTCCTTCAACCCTCGGGCCCAACACGTAAGCCCAAAGATTTCGAGTGGAGTGAGTGTATGAATATCTAGCCCAACAACTATCGGATGGATCAGGAAACAAAAGAAATAGCAGGCAATGTAAATAGGTATTATTAACTTCGTAATAACTCCCCTAAGTACAATCTACTTGCTAAAAAAGGCACGTCGGCCGTTCGTCTTACAAGGCAGTTAGAATGCTGCGAGTAAGAATGCTGAAGCTAGTATGCTAAGAATAGAAAGTTGCCAACCCTTTACAATGAAATAAATGCTTCTATTTATACCCGCCAAAGGGCAGGTGGCTGTACTGACGTGGCAGCCTGTGGACCGCTGGTGTCCCAACTACCAAATCTTTAGCATTAAATGCACTTCCCGCCAGAATCTAGGTTTCCCGCCGGATCAGTGGGGACGTTCGTCCATCCGGGAAGTGAGTTGGATTGCTCCAAGTGACCCTTGAGGGATATTGGCTGTTCGTCCCCTGGCCTTGATAGATACTCGCCATGTGGACTGGGTTTTCTCCGATGACTACAGGCTTGCTCTGGGGACGTTCGTCGCCATCCCTGGTGGCCCGTGGTTCTGCTCCTTGTCCCTGCATAGACGTTCGTCAGAATGAACTGCTGGGCCTGAGTCCCCCAACACCAGACGTTCGTCCATCCTCAAGGAACATGGGCCTGTGGGCTGGCCTAGTGTTCTAACTGGACGTTCGTCTGGCAAAATGGGTTAGTGGGCCGGACCTCGGCTTGGGCCCTTAACCCAACACAAGTCCCCCACGGACATGGAGCGCCACATCTGTCCGATCAGAAGCGCCCTTGATCATGATCAGGTCCTCTCCCGCGTTGCTCTAAACAAAATCCGCACTTTCTTCCCCCCGCCGTTCGTCTGGAGCGTGAGAGGCGCCGAACACGTGATGAGGCGACGCCCGGGGATGATCATGCTTCACCTGGATTCCGTTGAAGCTGGGCTGCGGTTTCCACTTCATGCGTTCTATGTGGAGTTCTTCCACTGCTTCCAGGTGGCCCCGGCGCAATTCATGCCAAACTCTTATAGGTTTATATCAGCCTTCCTGGTGCGCTGCAAACTTGTGGGAGTCACTGCTACTTTGGACCTGTTTCACTATTTCTACCGCGTTACTCCCCAGAACGCCGACGGGTATCTGAGCGTGGCCGCCCGTCCTGGGAGACGGTTGTTCAAGAGCTACCCTTCGTCCATCCATGATTGGAAGAACCGCTTCTTCTTCCTTCGATACGACGGGCCTCCTCTCCCCCTTCGGTGGAATGGCTATCCCCCAAAGATTGAGTCACCGGAGCCGACCGACGATCTGCTTTGGGATGTGGAGAAGGTGTTGGAGGGCGGCGTCCATCCCATAGCCGGATATCTGACCTTCGAGGCACTCTCCGGGGCAGGCATAGGTACCGCCCGTGTCCTTGGACTCTTTCCACCCTTCGACGCTCGTCTCGGGGCACCGGGCGGTCCTGTCCTTCGAGGTGAGTGTCTTATTGTATTCCCCGCTCATCTTCTAATCTTCGTTGTTTCTTGCAGGTTCTCCGCCAGACAGAGATCAAATGAACCACGCCGAGTGCCTGAAGACAAGGAAGGCCAAGGCGGCCGCTGCTAAAGCCGCACTGGCGAAAGCCAAGAGTGCCCCCGCCTCGGAGTCCAACTCCTCGGCTTCTGACGCTGCCCGGCGAACTGCCGAGGGTGAGCAGCACCTGATCGCCACTATGCTGGCTCAGGGTTCTGGGGCCCCCGCCCTTGAAGCTGCACTTCCACCGCCGGTCGTCCCGTCGAAGGCGGCTCCTCAAAAGGGGACGGAGAAGGTCCCCGAAAAGAAACAAAAGAGGGGCCGCGAGGCAGGCTCCACCGGGCCCCTGCTTGAAGATGCCGGCTCCTTGCCATTGAGCCGCCCGGCGGAAGAGCTTTGGAGGGAGATGGCCCTCAAGGCTGGCCTAGAGCTGCCCAGCCGCTCGTCCTCCGAGGCGACAAGCGCTGCCCTGGCAGCCGCCCTTCAGGTAATTCCTCCTTGCTAGATCTGAGTATATATATTTTTTCCTTGACGTTCATCCCCTGATCCTTATTTTTTCTTCTGTCATCCAGTCTGGGCTTCTAGTCCTTCAGGCTGAAGCTGCCAGGGAGGCCGATCTGAAGGAGGCCAAAGCTAAAGCTGATGCGGCCATCGCTGCGGCTCGAGAGGCCGCTCGCCGAGCTGAGGCGGAGGCTGCGGCCAAGGGGAAGGAGATCGCCGCCCTGCGGGCAGAATCCCGCCAGCAGCTAGTCAGCCTTGAGAAAGCTGGCTTCAAGCTTGTCCCGGTGCACCCTGTCGCGAAGGATGCGAGTCCGGAGTGGCTGGTTGATACCTCCGGCTACCGGAACACTGGGGAGTTCATGGACTCTGCCAAAGATTATTGTGCCGGAGTCTTCGCCGACTTGTTTGCCGCGGCTCTGGAGAAGATACCGCCCCGCCAGCGTCTGGCCCGCGGCGTCCGGCTGCTTGAGGGTTCTCCTCTGTCCCGCAAGTTCCTGTACGAGGTCGGCGACAGCACCTTCTCAGCCGGGTATAACGAAGGGGTTAAGGCCACCCTCCCCATCTTTTCGAGGCTGCAAGGGGCCGACTTCGAGCTGGCAGCGCATACAGACGACGATCTGCTGCTCCAGGCTCTAGGGAAACTGGCGAGGGACCAGCGGCGGGAGGAAGCCAAGGCTAGAGGGGAAATTCCGGAACCCCCGTCCCCCGAGCCCGAGGAAGAGGAGGAGGAGCTGAACCAGGGTGGCAGCCGACCGGAATCCCCTTTCTTTGTATAATGTAATTTGTACTTTTCCATTCTAACTTTTGTAATGTCCGGCCGTCAGAGCCGAAGAATACAGACGCCCTTTTGCCCATAGTTGTTCCATGTTCATGATTTCTACTTGTTATTTTCCTTCCCTTTGTCCTTTGTTGTATGGAAACTTCTTCGGCGGCCCGACACGCCTTGTAGCAAGGTCAGAGTCCGAGAGGACGTTCGTATCTGTCCCCTACTTGCTTCCAGGCAAAAGCGTCCCGAAGTCAAACCTCCGTACGTACTCGAAGTGTTCTGATAATGGAGCGACGCTCGTCGGCGGTTTATGGTGCATGCTCGAAGTGTAGACATAGGAACGTATTTCTCAGCACCAGCACCTGATAACGATGTCCGTCCGTCGTCGCGTGGTATGAACATTCAACCCATGCGCGGGGCGTTCGTCTGTTCTGCGTGTTCATCTGGTATGAAGTGTGGAAAGGCGACGTTCATCCTCCGTGCACCGCTAATGGACGTGATTTTTCCTTCATCCTTTTTGTGTCCATTGTTTGTAGTATAAGGAATCCTTCCGGCGCCTCGACACATCTTTACCGCCCACGCGGTATCCTGACAATGGGAAGACGTGCGTCGGTAGCTGTCTTGTCAGTATGCGTCTTGAGTATGGACATATGGGCGTATTTCACTGAAACAGCACTTGGTGACGACGTTCGTCTACAGTCGCGTGTCGTGAAAACTGGAGTACCGCAAGACGGACGTAGCCGGTCGATGCGTGTGCCCTCATCAGCCGCCGACGCTAGGGTCAGCCGGGGGACTAAGGAAGCAATGGAAGGCGAATGTCTTCAAATTCCTCCGAGCCGGTGAGCCCTCCTCAAGGGACGTCCGTGGCACGGACCCGGATGTCTTGCGGTGGTTATGCGGCGACAAAATCGAGACGCCTTAAATACCGTGGTAGGTACCGGTACCCAGGTGCCACGTGTCCCGCTTCGGTTGGGGCAATTCTGCGGTGTTGCCTATAAATACCCAGGGTCCAAGTGATCTACTCACATTCCTCCTTACGCTGCTCAATTGTTTTCTCTCTCTAGATTTCTCAAGTACCAAGATCGGAAATCTCGAACCCCGAAGGTACCGTTCGTTGTCATGTCTTCCGAAAGTCGCTTTGACGATGGATGTTCTTCCGGTGATGACCTGGAGTATTATGAGCGGGGAATGCCACCCCGGCCTCCCCGTTATAGCCTCAGCTTCTCATGCGTTCGGCGTCAAGTACAACGCCTGACGAACGCTGACAAGCGGCTGATCAGTCAGTGGTTTTACCCCCCAAGGACCTACGACGATCGGCGTCTTCGGAGCCCCATGCGCCATCTGCCCGGCTATGTGGTGGTCCACCTAGATTCGGTGATAGCCGGGCTGAACTTCCCCTTGCACAGCTTCCACTTGGAACTCTTCAGGGCCCTTGAGATTGTGCCTGCGCAGCTCGTCCCTGCCGCTTATCGGATAATCGCTGGCTTCATCATTAGATGCCACAGCGTCGGTGTGACCCCCACCGTGGACCTGCTGCACCACTTTTTTCGTCTGTCCACCTTCGGACGCACAGGGTATTTGACCCTGATCGCCCGTCCGTCCATGGTTCTGTTTTCGAACAACGCTGGGAACCCGGACGGTTGGGAAGAACGCTTCTTCCTGGCTGGCGTAGGCTCACCGATGCCATTCTCTGATCGGTGGAACGCTTACCCCGTGAAGACGATCCCGCCGCCCATGACGGACGAGGAGCTTGGATATGCCAAGCGCATAGCCGGACTTGGCATCCAGAACCTCCGGTTGCTGGTGGCCGAGCCCTTTAAAGCTCAGGCTGGATTAGGTGCGT